GAGACATGTCTCCATAATCCATTGACTAGTCCCCATACGAAATTTGATCTGAAGATTCTTTGAGGGGAGTAGAATAGGTGTTCAAGCTTCTCAAGCTATACCGTAGAACACCACCAAGGGGCGAATCATGATATCTTCCATCGTTGGCTTGACAATAGTGTCAGCTGCACGCTCGCAATCGAAAGTGTGGAGCGGATAATACTCTTCAATTTTAAAATCCCATATCTATCGTGTATTCATCTGTCATATGCATCAACTTGTAAACTTGCGCCAAATTCTCTCCCACCCGTCCCAGAGAGCAAACTCCGAAACTTGAGAGTTACGATTTATGTCCTTCTGCGGATATTCAAATTTTCGGAGGCGTATATTTGATAGCAAGCTGAGACCAGAAAATAAGTCGACGAGAGGTGTGGTCATTGGAATGAGGATGTACTAGAGCGTACTTGTAGACTCGATGAGACTTATGTTGGAGTCGATCTTAATAAGAGTGGAAGTTTGAGATGGAGGAGTAATTTGAATCATTGCCTTGAGGGCCAACTTGTTCGGTATTGCGAAATTTGACTGAACTTGGCTCTGGGAGAAAATTTCACTCCCAGGTTCGTAGAGAGCACCACTGACAGGTGTTCAGACTTGCCCTCCACTCCCAAGGTCGTAAGGGACACCGCGTACAAGTTGTCATTTTTGCCCTGCGCCTAGTAGGTTCGACAAAGTGTCTCCTAACACAGAAATAATTGAAATCTCAACAACCAAAACCTTCATCAATTCGAGAAATTCGAAAATTCATTTTTCCCTCTTTCCTCCCTTCTCGACCTCGTCGCATCTATCTCTGAATTGTGATCGAGCTCAGGCATTTTCACCATGCCTCCAGTTCGCAAAAAGCGCCCCAACGCCAAGTTGGACAACACGAGAGTCCACCCGAGGGCTCTCGAACAATTACCTGGCCTTGCCCAGTCTCCGAAATGCGCGGAGATGAGCAAAGTCTCTACAAAAGGGAAGGAAAAAGCCTTCCTCACCGTCACTGAGCCCGATACTGATATGATCGGGTCAGTCGAAATTGTTGAGAAAATCCCTCAACCATCCTCCGTCCCCCACGGTATTAGAGAATCGTCCAAATCTCCTCCGACCGAGCCCAAATCGTCAGAGAAATCTGCACCGAAAGCAGCTTCAACGAAAGAGTCGCTGCCTCAAGCTGCCACTATTCTGTGCGCAGGTTCACACAACACGGCATAGCTCTATATTCTAGACTTTTAGTAGTCCCATGGTGTCTAGAGCTCCTGCTCTAGCGTCCTTTGCCCTTCATAGGGATAAAAGTGCGCGTGCCTAAAGGCCATGCGCAGTGATAGACGTTTAATATCATCATCATCATCAAGCTGCCACTAAAGCAAAATGCTCTTTGGAACTTCGAACGATTGTCGAGGCCGAACAACGACGCGCCTCCGAAACAGCGGCAAATCTGGCACTCTGTTCCGCTGCCATCTCTGGCGTCGAAGCACCCCTTTTTCCTTTGACCAACGGGTCAAATAGACAATTCGTAGACTCCATGAGAGTCTATTTGTGTGCATCCATTGCGCAATACATGGCCACGGGCCCAGCCACTACGCCACCCGTACTTCCTTCTCGCCCAGTCAACCCTCTCCCAAGGGCTCCCGACGCGAGGAGCACACAAATTCCAGCCGTCTCAGAGCTGCCTATAAAAAGCACCGGGGCCACAGTAGATAAGAACGGACAGTCACAAAACGCAGTCCCTTCAGTAATAGCTGTGCCGCAACCTGCGGCTAAAGCCCCAAAGAAAGACGCCCCAAAGGTGAAAGTCGATAGACGACTTTTCACCCGCCTTGGTAGCGATCACCCCTGGAGGAAATTGTCTCCTCAGGCTGCACAAACTGCAATCTATTGTAATAAAACAGTTCTGCATCAGTATCGATGTAGGATCTCTGTCAGTGCTCTACTACATGTAACTAGATTCCATATTTAATGTAGTCACTTCTGTTTCTTGTCATTGTGAATCACCAATGACAAAGATTGCCGGAAGACTGGTGGTTAGAGGCTTGTCCGCCTAAATAGCGCCAGCTTCAATTACTTAAGAAGCGCCGCAAACCACCCGAACTGTATATAGAATGGTTCCGAAAATTGTAGAATGACATACCAAGTATGAGGATGAGTTAGAGTTATGATGAGTTTGTTTAATGTACGACGAAGTCTACTGATGTTTAATGGATAGTTAATTGTAAAGAAATTGCTGTAATTCTATATGTGTGGCGATAAGTCCCTCTATATACATGAAAGCGGGGTTTTCCGCACACTAGTGTGAACTCCAACACACTCCCTAATCTAACCCAAACGGGAAGGTTGTTGGAGATCCTAAAGCCAATGTATGCTGTCAGGTATCTAATGGCTAATTACTATTCATGCCAGTGAGTGATGATATGGGTTAATCATATCTGATGGTGCCAGTGCATATTATTCTAATATGTACTATTTGTTTACTGCAGTCATGTTGCTGCCTTAATTACAACAACTGTCTCTCTCTAGCCCCTCCTCCGCAAACTAATTGCAGCATGAACAGGTCACGGCAATTTGCGGCATACAACCGCCCTTTTGAAAACCCATACGCTCCTATGGAGTGCTCTTGCGGGAAGGAAGCTACTCCAACCCACTTCATCTACTGTGGCCACCACGCACAACACACGCGTAGGCTCAGAAAGTCATTTTACCACGCTGACTTTGTCAAAAAGCTTCTCGGGCCCAAGTGCCACGATAGCTTCAAAATATTTGCAGAGGAAAGCGGCTGTTTTGATGGTCAACTTGCCCACTCATCCACTGCTCTCAGCGGGGATCAGACAAACTAGTCATTGCCACAATGCATGACACGAAAGGGAACGGGGCGAGAAGTGTCATTTCTCTGAGAAAAGATTGTAGCTATTTGTATCTAGGGGGAAAAGGCCGTGATTTTTAATCTAGGAGTTGGAGTAAGTGGTGTCTACGTCGTAATTTACTTCCTACTATATCTGTAGCGAGTCCTGCGGTTGGAATGAGTTGGGCCTGTAAGCAGTGATCTCCACCGGCTCCACCAGTGTTGTACCTATAGTGGACCTAGAGCTTTAGCTTAGGACTTTAACAATTAAAAAAAAATCATCAGAATCAATTCTATCGCCCAAATTCTAACATCCCTGCTCTAAGCACATTCCAATAAAACTTGTGCCCCATTATTAAACAGCAGTAGACTGCCCTTTACTAGCTCAAAAGCTTGAAGCCTCTCGACAAACTGGTACTTGAATGTACAAATTCAACGCTGACGATGCTAGTGGTCAGCCGTTTGAAATTCCATGTTGTCGCGAGAGTCGAGTGGCGTGGAGATGCAGGCTAGCTAGGTGGGCTGAAAATTTTCCGTCAATTTTTTCCAATTTAAATTTTCCACCCAACACAAGTCTAAGACTATCAACAGATGTGTAGTATTCAAGCGCGTGGGAGGGCAAGACTGAATATCTACATGCGCCGCCTTTTACGAAACTGGGAGTGAAAAATTCTTCCAGAGCTAGGTCCAGTCAAATTCGCCATACCGAACAAGTTGGCCCAGGAAGCAATGAATCAAATTACTCCTCCATCTCAAACTTTCACTCCCATCAAGATTGACTCCCACCTAAATCTTATCAAGTCTACAAGTATGACCTAGTACATCCTCATTCCAATGACCATACCTCTCTCCGACTTTCTCTGGCCTCATCTGGTCGCCAGATACACGCCCACGCCGATATTTAGACCCAACGGAGGAAGCAAGACGTGGCGCACAGATACGGGAGACAGTTATTTGGGACGGACGTGAGAGGAGTTAGGACAGGTTCACAAGATGATGTAAAGGAAGGATATTACCCCGATTGGCGTGAGATTTTGAATTTTGGCAAGGAGTTTTACGAATTGGGCTTTGTGCGCGCCAAGACTTCGCTTGCGAGAGTGTAGCTGACATTATAAAAACAAGTCAACGATGGAAAGTGTTGTGGTCCGCCTCCTGGTGGTGTTCTCTGGTATAGTCTGAGTAGCCTGGGCACCTACTCCACTTGGGAAGGAGACATCTCAGACCACATTTCGCGGGGAGAAAAGTTGATGGATGACGGAGGCATGTCTGGATAACTCAGGGTTTTTGAGACGTTCCCCTGGGTGGGTATTCACGGATGAGGGTTGACTTGAGGTGAAGAAAAAGCCACCGTAACTTTGCAGTGGTACTTGCAAATGAAATCCGAGCCAGCAGTGCTCTTCCTTTACACTGAGTCATCTATCACGTAATTTTCTTTGATATTGAGTCATAGCAAGACAGCTGCATACGCAATTAAAATCTGATGCAAAAAAATGAGCCGCGTGTTCGAATTCTTCTGAAAAGAAATCCAATCTTATCTCTCTCATCAACTTGCAAAAGGATAGCCTGAGTGCCCAATGACCTAAAAGTTCCGCCAATTGTCGGTCTAGACGCCATGATCGACTCCCTGCATAAATAATAAGTAAGCGGAAGATGTTTGCCAGTTTTAGGGTCTAAGGATATACCTAGTAGCGGCGCTAGTGATGAAATCGATGCACAGGTTCAGGACGAAGTCAGCCACGATGTAAGAGAGAAGGCATTTGTTGGTGGCAAAAAGGATAAGATTGTGCCGAAAAAATCGGGACTAATCGCTTGCAACGAGTGCCAATATTTCTCGTTGTCTTTATTTACGTGTCGAATTCCTTGAAGGCTTAACCCGTATAGGATTGAAATAATTGACGTGCCACAGCTAGCTGAGCAAAAGATTCTCTTTTTGCCATCGAGCGAGTGTCTCATGAAAATGACACTTGATATACTAAGCCTTATGTTATTGTGTGAAGATGCTAAGAATGCCCCTTCTCTATAAGGGGTGATACTTCGACTATGAAGCTTTCTTTGGTTCCATCAATAGTTTATCCTCACTTCTTTGCTACTCACTCTTCATCGAGAATACAATTAATTATACCCGGATTTACCACTGGATGTAACTATGAAATTTTTTGTCGCTTTGTTACTCTCGCTCCTACTCATCTCGACGCCGACTATTGCTAGATCGGTCAACGGATCCAGCCTCCAAAAGGTAGACAAGAGAAATTCTGACCCACGTCACTTTGGCTTTGAATGCGGCTCAAGGAAATACAAGCTGTCTACATGCATTGATGTCGTGAAAGATGCCTGTGAGGCACACTCAAATGTTAGAAAGCCAAAAAATATCGTACTCAATTACACGATGGCAAAGCATCCTATGGAATTTATTAGGGCTCAAGAATTTGGATATCCAAATAATACAATGATAGTAGAGCTACCTCTATCACTTTTTGGTCAGGCTCCTGCCCATATTGTGCGAATATCTGATGCTAAAACGAACTATTTTAGAAATATTAAACCTAAATTACGTTGCATTTTCGCCGATGGATTGTAAGATTCTTGGTGTTGTAAGCAAAAATGAGGATTGGTTTTACACAACTTCATTTAAAGCGTGTAGACATACTTCGTGGCCGTTTAACTGGTTAGAAAAGTAAGCATACCCAAATCTTCGTCCATTAAATTTTGGAAAATTAACAATTACCAGATATATATACAAAAACATAAACTAGGTGGCTTTACGTTTATTAGTTCAAAATAAATCGTATAAAATTTTATTCTTGGTAGGGTTAGTTGCTACTAACGTTCATGGTTATTTTCTACTTAGAAAAATCCCAAAGAAATCAAGCGAACTAAAATCTGACGGATAATTGGGCTCTAAACTGATGACATCCTCATTTTATGTGTCTTGAATGCGTTCTCTACTACTATTCAAGGAAAAGCTAAGATTTCTATTTTTTCTCGGATAATGAATCTTTAATCAGATTAGGTTTTGGACACTAAATTCCAATCTATTTTTGCTAAATTTCTGACTACTTTTCGAATTATTCATGAGCCCTTAGTTAAGGTTATGAGTAGTTTCGGCTTGGTGTACACTTATTTGGTCTATCCCTGAGTACGTCGCATATCAATCAGGCACGTAACTCAGGTGGCGTATCGCACGGTAGAGCATGTTGGAAAGTGTCAAGCATTGTAACAGCAAGAAGAATTCTACTTTTCGGAGACTACATTCCCCAAGCAAAACCCTGAAAATGAGTTAGGTTCTGCATGCTAGATCCAGAATGGCTAGTGGATCTAGTAAATATTGGAATGAGTCTCTAGGTAAGACGTTGTAGCCCGTTTATAATGGGGAAAAGTCTCAACCCAATACTATCGGAATCAATCTAGTCTCTCATTAAGCAATCTCATGATAATTTTCCCGTATCTATGAAAACAGACACACGTGCTAAGTTGATAAACATTTACTAGAGAAAGATGCATTTAAATTCTAGAGAGCTTATAGCAAAATTCCATTAGCATGCCTATGATAAGTACGAAACATATCATCTGACAGGCTCCCTGTCCCAGTGATGGTGGGCAAAAGATGCAGAAACTGTGTGTAAGCGAACTCAGTACGAAGAGAGGTTCTTCACGCAATCCCTAGCAGATATGATCGTATCAGCTATGATTTATCAATTAAATTTTCAGCACCCAGCATGCCCCACAATCCTAAGCCTTCGGATGAGGGTTGGCTTGGGGTGAAGAAGAAGCCCCTGTAAGTTCACAGTGGTAATTGCAAATAAAATCCGAGGCATGAGTGCTCTTCCTTTATACTGAGATATATTAAGGAAATAATGACCCCTCGGTCATCGAGGTTGTAGAGCGTATTGATTCAAGTAACTACCGAAGTGAGACTAAGTACATAATTCCTAGTTACGTGTGTACCAACAACGTGGCCTACTTGATAGCCCCAAGTATCACAAATTCCAACAAGATATCTATTGTGTACTTTTATTTGATATTGTGTCGTACCTAGAAAGCTGTATACGCAATTAAAATCTGATGCAAAAAACAAGCCCAAGCCTTATTTTAAAAATCAGTATTTGTTATGTCTAATAGATTTTCCCGCATTTTTCTCCCTCAAGCCTCCACGAAATTCTTGACTTGTTGATACAGGGTGAATTCTACTTTGGCGCTTGTCGTCTCGTGGGCATGTATTAGGTGGAAACTTCGGGCCAAAAATTGGAATGAAATTAGTGTGACGAAGGCCAAGAAGGCCTGACTGTCTATACTCGTCGATTGCGGATTGTGTTCGTTGGCGAGAAGCGGCATGAGAGGCAGAAAGGTGTATTTTGGGTTCAATGGAGAAGTCAGGCCGTTGAAATGTCACAAATTCGCTGACTTGTTCGTAGAGGAATATGGCTGTGCCTACCCTATGATCATTGCTCATGTAAAGGCATAGCCGGTTCGAATACTCGTCCGTCATCCCTAACGTAAGTCTGGTTCACGGACAGCTGATTGATGATTGATTTATTTTGAGGTCCCAGACACCAGCCCAGCGCCTTATGGCACGGGACTGGTGGGCTCGGTAAGGATTATCCTAAATAGCTATGCCCTACTCGTTCCCACCACACTATCACTATGCGACTCTGATTACAAACAACCAAAAACCAAAAACCAAAAGAAATAGCAAACAGAACCAACTGAAATAAAGCAAATTAACATGTGGAAGCGGTGCTAGTATTTCTCATCCTATGCCCCCCTCATTCATTTCTCTCGTCCTGACAAAATAATCACTTCGGCCCTCGCATCCAGCTGAGGGCGGGTCTGCATCCATGCTCCCAAAGCAGCCGGTATTCCTTGCAAATTCTATGAAATTCTCGAGACCCTCCGGTCCAAGGAGTTGGTTGGTGTAGTCCTCCACGATCATGGATCTTCTCAATCTGCGCATTATAGCAGCATTCTTCCTGCATCGGACAAAATGAGTTGGCGTTGTCCTTTGTCCACAGACGCATTCCAGTTTCGCGTCTTCGTGGTTCAGGCGGCGGTGATAGTCTGCAAAGTCTCCATGTCCTGATCTTGCTGCCGGGAGCTTATGGAGTAATCGTCGAGAAAGACCTAGTTCTGGTGGTCTCCGACGTCGCATCTGTAAGTCCAAGTCTCGATATCTGTCCGGACCCGACTTATTCCACCAGTCTTCCACTAGTTTCTGCCGGCGATTGTGCATCAAACGGCGTATTTATGCCTGCGTTGTCTGCACTGGCTGCGTCTGTCGATCTGGCAGCGGCTGAAGACCGCCTTGGGCTTCTACTCAAGGACTACTGAGTTGGTTGATTTTAGCTCGCTAAGCTCATCTACAAGTATTATTTTTATGTTTATTTTTTATCTTTATTTAACGTCTGGCGGATCATGCGTCAAGCGAGTAACCCTATTTTAAGTCCCTACTGAGATAAAAGACGCCAGGATTTAATCTCTGGGCTTCTACATGTTTTAAAGGAAAGCAAAAAAACAAAATTAAACTATTTAACATATAAAGGAGGTGCATTCACATAGCTACTTCCCGCAGTTTGTTAGGCTCTTATTAGTGGTGGTAAGATACTTGCTCGGCGCCATTCTCTGCGCAGGTCAACCCACACTCCCTGTTGACCTCCACTACCGGAAAAATAAATTAGAAAAAAAAAGGAGTCTAAATTGCTTATCTTCCTTCCTTCGTTTGCTGGTTTTTCGCGACACTTGATGTCACGGAATGTATAAAGGGAGTATCAGGATCTGGATGGGTCGGGATCAATAACTGTGTTGTGCGATAAGGAGAGTAAATCTAACTATGTACATGGAAGTCTCTAAGTCCCAAGTTCGCTAAGCCATTCCTAGGACTTAGTCCCGTGACAGTACTCACCCTCCAAAATTGAAGTTTGGACCCCAAACTTTTCTCTACTTTTGAATTTTATGTTATGTGATGATTATTTCAATTTCTTAATCTGTTTCCGTCTTCTACTTGACCTTCGTGGTTTTTGTACTGGAATTGATTGATTCGTAGACGGCATCTTCACCCATTCTGGAGGCCCTGGTTTATCGGGGTATTTGGTGTGGAAATCTATTAATGCCTTGTCACATCCTTTCAAATCTAATTCTGGCTGCCAGGTGGGATTTTGATCGTATTTCCACTTAACAAGGTATGTAAGCCCGGTCTTATCAATATTTTCATCATGTACATCAAAGATCTTATCGAATTTCCATTTTTCGACAATTTTACCGTTATTTTCTCTTTCTACAACCCGGCCTGCAGTATTTCGACGCTCGTTTATGTTGATACTAGATTGGCCTGGGATTATCGAGTCTGGCCACGGTCGAACCATTGATGTATGGAAGCTATTGTTCACCCCAATATGTTTCGGAAGTTCAACAATTACCGCCCCATCATATACCTTTATCACTTTGAAAGGACCATCCCATTTGTCATCCCATTTATCTTTTGGTCTATTTGTCTTAATATTTTTAAGGCTTATCATCACCTTATCCCCCGGATTATATACTGGAGCCTCCGATCTTCTAGCATTTGCATTATTCTTATATCGTTCTTGAGACTGACGACTTAGTGCTTTAAGTTTCTCCAATATGCGATTAAAACGATCCACAATAGCATCAGCTCTTAGGTATTCTTTCTTCATCGATCCATTCAAGTCACAGATCTCGGGGGCTGGTGGTTCTATTCCAAGACGTGGGTTGTAGCCATAATTTGCAAAAAATGGAGAGACACCTGTTGTCTCGCTAACATTGTTGTTTCCTGAGAATTCTGCAAATGGAAGCCAGTCAACCCAATCATCCTGCGTAAAATTAACAAATGCACGTAGATACTGGTTCAATGCCGAGTTATCTCCGTTTGACCGTCCGTCTGGGGATGAAAAGCAGAACTATGTTTTAAGTTCACAGATAGACGTGTATTCAAGCGATGCCAAAAATCAGAGACAAATGCAGAGCCACGATCAGAGATAATCGATTCTGGTGCACCATGGAGCTTATACACCTCCTTTATAAAACAACTCACCAATTCTGCAGTATCTAGAGATGATGTTGGTATGAAGTGGCGCATTTTCGTCAGACGATCCACTACCACGAGGATATGATTAAATACCTTTCCAGAACGCTTACAAGGAGGTAAATCTACCACATGGTCAATTGAGATATCGACCCATGCGCGGACTGGGATATTAAGGGGCTTAAGGAAGCCTGGTGGTGCTGTTCTTGGGGTTTTCGTTCTAACGCATAGCTCACACCCTTTAACAAAATTAGCCACAAACTTACTCATTTTAAGCCACCAGTATGATCTTTGCAACAAGTCTAACGTTTTTACTCGTCCTGGGTGACCCGCGGGTCCTGATGAATGGGTACCATGGACAATTAATAAACGTAGCTCCTTGTAATCTGGCGCAAATAATCGATTCCTAAAATAAATTAAACCGTTGTTAAGTTTGAACTCTGCCATATCTTTCATTAATAATTTTTTCAAAGGTTTAGACCATTTTCTCCTGGATTGGTCCTTCAAATGCTCAACCATTTCTCTAGCGGTAAGATTTTCATTATATGCCTGATGTATGAGATCTATCAGTGCAACTTCATTAGAAAGCGGGACAAGAATTTCGGAATGTTTATATTCAGGGAATTTTTCATCATTTAAACA